GCCGCCCTAACTCGTGCGTCCTCCGAGCGAGAAGACGCAAATTTGGATGAAACCGATGTGGCTTACGATGATGGCGTACTAGCGACAAACGTCAATAATACTGCACCAGCAGCTGCCACCACACCCTCCCCACTCAGCGTGTCGTCTGGTGTTGACGTCTTCACGCCATGACCGTCATCATCAACAAAGAGATTTCTGGGGACAACACGACCATCGCCAGTGTGACGCCCTTCAACGTGGCAGCGGCACTTTGAACGACACAACTCTCGTAGAGGGTGGCGTCATGACTGGCCCCAACGCTGACTTGCAGGCCTACCTGGACGTGACGTGGACGAATCCACGGGAAGAAGACGCAGGATCCTACAGCTACGAAGTTGTTGCTCTCGAAGCACAAGGTCTTCCTGTGTCCTTGACCTCGTCACTGAAGGTCACTGCAGAGGAGCCGAATTTTCACGACGTCGTCAATTATCTCGTCAGTCACGAGAAGCAAATCACGAGGCTTCAACGAGAGAACAAGGACCCTGAAGCGTCAGCTACACGAGTTCCAATCCAGCAGCTTAGTCTCACAGAGCCTTCAGGTCAGGCTGAATGAATTGGACAACATTCAAACGGGGACCTTCTCCTGTTGAAGTCCGATTTTCATTCGGTTTGAGAAACCATACGCCTCGATCCCGATAGTATTCCCTACGCTGACCAGCCTGGTCCAGACGTCCAGTAATTCTTCCTCCACCTTCCAGATCAAACTCACGCAAGTGGGACCAACAGGGTTTACGGCCGACTGCGGATACACGGGCTACTTCCTACCAGAGTTTCAGTGGCTGGCCATTGGTCAGTGAATCGGTAAAACTGTAGAACATGAATTTGTAATAGTGTATGTAGCAGGATAATGAAAATAAAATGTTTTAATGTATGTTTATTCAGATTACCTATCACAATTGTATAAAGTAAAAGGGAAAAAAAAAATTAAAAAAACGCAAATGCAATATTTTTTTCAATACTTATTATCATTATTATTTGCTGGCATCCGTCCGTCACTGTGGTGTAGACTTGGCAGTACGAAATCCACTAGGCCTGTGATAACTCTTTTTAGCTGGCTCCAACACAGCATATCGCCTCTTTTCACGCCGCTGGATAATCAAAGAGAGCATCATGTGTGGAGGATACAGCTTAGCACATTCATTGTCACATGCTTTTTCGGAATGTTTCAACGACGGGATTCCATCAGAGTTTCCTTCTCTTAGATGAGCTGCCATCCAAGGCTAATGAGTCCCATCCATCCGGAGTGCTGGTGATGTTGTTACTCTACTGTACTTTAGTGGGGATTGAACTCCAGACCAACGAAGTTGAGATTTCTCTAGATTAGAACTTATACTCAAAGTTATATAACGTAATAAGAGATAGCCCATGTATCAATAAAAATATAATTGTGATTAAATAACTTTAATTGCTAGGTACCGTGGTTAACAATATATATGATCTTGTGTGTGTGTGGGGGTGGGATGATGAATTGCGCAGAAGAATTGACGTGACACTGATTATTGAAAGGTCACTATTTTAAGAGAGGTCACGTGAATAAGGCGTGCGAATGAGTCCACCTTCAGAGGGCAGCGAAATTGCATTCTGGTGTAAAATATATGACTAAATATATACTTCTTTTAGGCAAGAGCTTCTAAATTCAGGCTCCGTCTGTCCCCGGGGCGGGGGACATCTTCATGGTAGTCCATTCTATTTTAATACTTGGTAGGGCAGGGACAAAATGCCCAGAATCTATGCATATTTAAATAGTAATTCAGTCCAAAAGACCATCCATCAATGAAATCAAGCGTTTATGAGTAGAGTTGGGGGGGGGGGCATGTCATATTTTCGTGACGATGTTTGACGAATGTCGGAGAGGGGGTGGGGGTAAAAAATCGACCAAATGTTTTTGACACCATTTATGGATAGCCCATAAGGTCATATTGACTTCAATCGACTTCCCATTGGGGGTTTTCCCTTAGATTTATTTTAAAATGTATTTATAATAAACTCACATAGTGTCGAGTACACTTTATTTATTGGCCATTAAAATGTTGCGAAATATCTATTTGGTTTTTACTGTCCAGTACAGGTAGAGAAGGGGAGAATAGCGCCAACAGCGGCTACATTTTGTGGCGGGAGGTCACTTCAGACAGACCTGGTCTTCTATCATACGGTGCCCAGTGATGTTTTAGATAAGCGGTTTTCAACCTGTGGGTCACGACCCCTTAGGGGGTCGAACGACCCTTTCACAGGTGTCGCCTAAGACCATTCTGAAAATACATATACTCTACATTTATGAAGTAGCTAAGAAAATACTTTTATGGTTTAAGGGGGGGTGGGTGTCCCCACAACATGAGGAACTGTAATAAAGGGTCACGGCAGTGGATGAACTACTGGATTAGATAATCTTTTCTAGACACATTAAATTATGAACTATTTTATGAATCAGAGTCAACCATTTCCACGAAATCGTATAAATTTTGCATTTTGAAAGATAAGACAGAACTTTCTTAGGTTGTAATGTTGTGGGATAGGGAGTGAGTACAAAGTATATTCAGTGAGGAATAGCGAGTAAAGCGATCAGGATTGTGTGATAAAATTTTAACGTTTTATTTATATTGCATGCACGTAAAAAATACAAAATCCCTGACGTCAGAAATATAAAGTCCCACTGGTCAAACATGCAGAATCCCTGACGTCAGAAATATAAAGTCCCACTGGTCAAACATGCAGAATCCCTGACGTCAGAAATATAAAGTCCAACTGGTCAAACATGCAGAATCCCTGACGTTAGAAATATAAAGTCCAACTGGTCAAACATGCAGAATCATTGACGTCAGAAATATAAAGTCCAACTGGTCAAACATGCAGAATCCCTGACGTCAGAAATATAAAGTCCAACTGGTCAAACATGCAGAATCCCTGACGTCAGAAATATAAAGTCCAACTGGTCAAACATGCAGAATCATTGACGTCAGAAATATAAAGTCCAACTGGTCAAACATGCAGAATCATTGACGTTAGAAATATAAAGTCCAACTGGTCAAACATGCAGAATCATTGACGTTAGAAATATAAAGTCCAACTGGTCAAACATGCAGAATCATTGACGTCAGAAATATAAAGTCCCACTGGTCAAACATGCAAAATCCCTGACGTTAGAAATATAAAGTCCAACTGGTCAAACATGCAGAATCATTGACGTCAGAAATATAAAGTCCAACTGGTCAAACATGCAGAATCCCTGACGTCAGAAATATAAAGTCCAACTGGACAAACATGCAGAATCATTGACGTTAGAAATATAAAGTCCAACTGGTCAAACATGCAGAATCATTGACGTTAGAAATATAAAGTCCAACTGGACAAACATGCAGAATCATTGACGTTAGAAATATAAAGTCCAACTGGTCAAACATGCAGAATCATTGACGTTAGAAATATAAAGTCCAACTGGTCAAACATGCAGAATCATTGACGTTAGAAATATAAAGTCCAACTGGACAAACATGCAGAATCATTGACGTTAGAAATATAAAGTCCAACTGGTCAAACATGCAGAATCATTGACGTTAGAAATATAAAGTCCAACTGGACAAACATGCAGAATCATTGACGTTAGAAATATAAAGTCCAACTGGTCAAACATGCAGAATCATTGACGTTAGAAATATAAAGTCCAACTGGTCAAACATGCAGAATCCCTGACGTTAGAAATATAAAGTCCAACTGGACAAACATGCAGAATCGCTGACGTTAGAAATATAAAGTCCAACTGGACAAACATGCAGAATCATTGACGTTAGAAATATAAAGTCCAACTGGTCAAACATGCAGAATCCCTGACGTTAGAAATATAAAGTCCAACTGGACAAACATGCAGAATCCCTGACGTTAGAAATATAAAGTCCAACTGGACAAACATGCAGAATCATTGACGTTAGAAATATAAAGTCCAACTGGTCAAACATGCAGAATCATTGACGTTAGAAATATAAAGTACAACTGGACAAACATGCAGAATCCCTGACGTCAGAAATATAAAGTCCAACTGGACAAACATGCAGAATCATTGACGTTAGAAATATAAAGTCCAACTGGTCAAACATGCAGAATCATTGACGTTAGAAATATAAAGTCCAACTGGACAAACATGCAGAATCATTGACGTTAGAAATATAAAGTCCAACTGGTCAAACATGCAGAATCCCTGACGTTAGAAATATAAAGTCCAACTGGTCAAACATGCAGAATCATTGACGTTAGAAATATAAAGTCCAACTGGTCAAACATGCAGAATCATTGACGTTAGAAATATAAAGTCCAACTGGTCAAACATGCAGAATCCCTGACGTCAGAAATATAAAGTCCAACTGGTCAAACATGCAGAATCCCTGACGTTAGAAATATAAAGTCCAACTGGTCAAACATGCAGAATCCCTGACGTTAGAAATATAAAGTCCAACTGGTCAAACATGCAGAATCCCTGTCGCTAGCCAATCTGGTTAGAAATGCATCAATTGCTGGCCATTATTGGCGCAGTGGTAACGTTGGTCGCTAGTACGCAATCATCGTAAGCCACGTCGGTTTCATCCAAATTTGCGTCTTCTCGCTCGGAGGACGCACGAGTTAGGGCGGCTAGGTTTGGAATTTCTTTGTAGATGGAACATCGCAGCCTCAGTGTTTTGGTGAGTATGGGGTGTATGACTGGAGAGTTTGACTGGACAGTTGGACTCTGCATCACGAGCTCTGAAGCTGAACGAATTGAGGTCAGGGTTTAATGCATACTGACCTACAAGTACGTGCATGTTTGTGTGTGGATACGTTAACAACTAATTATTATTGTGTTGGGGTGTGCTTGTTACCTCGTTCAAAGTCACCCTCGTTAGAAAAAAAAAGTTGTAACCTCGTTTGAAAAACAACGTCACTCCTGGGGATTGGATTCTTCTGGAATGTAAAACATTTGTGTATATCCGATGAATCCCACAATGTGCAAATGGAATCTTTAAAAAAACGAATTTTAAAAAGAATTGACTGATGTATTAAAATGAAATGCTTTGTTGGCCTGCGATAAGGTAAAGAGATGTCACTGATTATGTTTGGGCCCAAGATAAACCGAGCCAACCTTATCAGTGTGTGTAGTGACGGCGCCACAAGACGTGGAGAGCTTTGGTAGAATGGCATCAAGGCTTTTCGTGTTGAGCTTTGTCTGTCTCTTCATTCAAGTCTGTTTCACGGGTGAGACGATGTTGCTATTTTGTTGTTGTTGTTTTTTTGTTGTTGTTTTTTGTGTATGTGTGGGAGGTGGGTATTTTGTTTCTTAGTTGTCTAAGGTTGACCCAACCACAAAGCGTGGTTTACAGGTATCAATGTGGTGATGCTCATCTACTTTGTTTAGGCGTACACGTACACAGAATCTCGTTCGTCATTAAGCTAACTATTACCAAGATGTGTCGGATTAATCATATTATTATTGTTTCATTATTATTGTTATTGCTAAAATTATTCATAAATGATCATTATTAGTAGAATTTAATTGATTGGAAATATTAATATTATTTAATTAAAAAAAACAAATACTCATCAGGTAATGATTCTTTTATGAGACCGCAATGAATCAACTAAGTATAAATTGAAAAAAAGAAGATTTTTTAAAAAGATGCCTCGGTTGATCATTTTGAACAAAACAAAACTTAAATTTTTACAAATTAATATAATTAATAAAAGCAAAATAATTGTTTTACTTAAGACCGGACTTTGCTGAACCTTAAGCGTGATGGACATGCAGACATGCCTCCACATTGAAAAGTTTACAATATTTCATGAAGTCACACGTGAAACAAAAAAAAAGAAGAAAAAAAAAAAAGATATAAATGGGTCTTGTTTAATTGTTAGCGATTGATTTTTGTATCCGCAATGATGTCCCTTGATAATTCCCGAATAATGTTCTAAAAGAATGTGTGATGTATGATCTTGGTGGAGTCGCTCATTACGTAACAATATCAGTCTTCCTCTGACGGATTTCCTGTGACAATTTTTTTTTCCCCAGCATCCATTAAAGTGGTTCTGCAAGCCACACCATCCACCATCCATCCGCTCCTCACGCGGTCATTACGCCTACGATGCTCACTGCAACGTCAGCAGCCGCTGCATGACAATACAACAAATTCAAGCTTATCGGATGTAGACCAAGCAGACGGTAACACGTCACATGGTGACCTAACCCACGTGATGTCCATCGTCATCACAAAAGAAAACGTGTCTGATGGGCAGGGCGAGGAGGTGGCGAGTGTCTCTACCTTCGACGGACCTATCACCGAACCTCCTTACTCGGGTTCGGTTCGTGTTGAAGGCAGCACAAACAACTCCGCCATGTCTGGAGAGCAGGGTTATCTCGAAATCACGTGGACAACCCCACCTGACACAGTTTCCGGTCTGTACTCATGCCAGGCGTTTGGCCTCAATGCACACAACCAGCCCGTCGCCCTTAAGACGTCTGCTGCGATAGCGTCAGAACTGAGCCTGTCCGATCTCGTGACTTTTGTCTCTTTGAACTTCAATCTCGTGTCTGAGCTTCAAACGATGATTGGGAGCCTCAACTCGACCCACGACCAGCGCGTGGCACGGCTAGAGCAGCAGTACGAGGACCTGAGTTTCGTCTACAACCTACGGGTCACCGAACTCGAACGGGCTAATGCGGACCTGGTGCACCAGATCTCAAGCCTCAACGCTACCTGCTGTGCGACCAATCGAAACACAACACAAAGCGGTACCATCCAAACTGGAAGATTAAACTGCACGTCCACGGCTAGCTATGTGACCTACTCCAGGCCGTTCTCGGAAAAGCCAAAAGTATTCACGAGTGTGACTCATGTAAGTCTCTTTTTGCCTGATGGCACCAGTCAAGTTCGAGTGGTCGACGAGGATAAGGCAGGTTGCACGATAATCTGCAACGTTCCTGACTCGGGCATTGACGTTGTTTGGATGGCGGTAGAGTGATTCAACTAAATATTACTTTATCTTGAAAAGCCGACTCGACGTAGGTAGAAATTCAGTATATTAAAGCCAACTCTAGGCCTATTTGTAAATTGTTGATAATTTGTGTACATTTATTTCAATAAAACTGACTTTATGTGAAAGATTGTTATTACGACATATTAAGAATTGCTCCTCAACCCTTGTCATCCAGTTGCCCACGAGAACCCCCTATTACCACTGCCCTCAACCAAGCTTCAACCATGTACATCTGCATGGCTCTTTTTTAAATTTTCCAACTTGTTATAAATGTTTTCACACAATTACCGTGACTGTGCTTCGACCAACTATTATCATCATTATATTTGACTCCATTTTTAACTTTAATAAACTACATACTAAAACACTTTCCTTTGTTTTATTGCTATATTTATTTATATGTATTTCTGTGATCAAGCGATCTTTTCTTCACTCAACACCACTAACACACTATCGATACCATTAACAAACTATCGATACCATTAACACACGATTGATACCATTAACCCACTATCGATACCACTAACCCACTATCGATACCACTAACACACTATCGATATCATTAACACACTATTGATATCATTAACCAGCTATCGATACCATTACCCAACTATCGATACCATTAACCCACTATCGATACCATTAACCCACTATTGATACATGACAAAAGATTTTAGCACTTAAAGAATTATTTATCGCCATATTGTTTCATTATTATTAGTAAAGTGATAACATTTGCTTTATCTCTCAACTTGTGGTCTTATCAAAACAGCGGTTCTCAAAGCTTTGCTTTCACTGGGTTTGTGTACATAGTCCAGATATTTACATTTGCAGGTGGATAGATTGTATCCCAATTTTTCAACTTAATATTATGGTATTCAATCTTACGACCAATGAAAAAAAAAAAAAAAGCTTTTCTATTTGAATAAGCCATTTTTTTGTTAGGTACGGGGCCTAAAATTTTGGAACCACTACAAGATTAACCCTTAAACTGAAAATGTAAACCAAAATACCTGGTAGTGGGGGGCGGAGACAATGCTGGCTGTATATACGAACATTCATAGCAATATACGTGTAGTATTATGTGGACTTCCACTAACTGTTTCAACATTTCACATACGACTCAACAGTGAGGGAACCCACAGCTCAAAGAATGAACCCCACGACATGCCTTCTGGCTGCGGCTGTGTTAACAGCTATAGTATTTGAATCAGGTAAACAATAATTAGATGTGTTGTACGTGGGTAAACATTTAGAGTATTTATATCGGGGATAACTTTTACAAAGTGGACCAAATGAATCTCTTCCATTTTCAAATAAACAGCGTCTGGTAGCTCATCATAAGGTGTGGACTGTGAAAGTCAAGGATTACTTTTAAAAAAGAGATGTTATTTCAAATACTTTTTTTTACATAGGTAGGTGTGTGTGTTTGTTTGTTTGTGTGTGTTTGTGTGTGTGTGTGTGTGTGAGTGAGATTGTGATTGGCGTGCATCTTGTCAATGATCACTTTCTTAATTCCAATTGATCATGTCCCACATATATTTGTTTGGTTCTGTAACTTCGTGGTTGCCAATTGAATTTTTTGTCTATCTAACATTAAGCTAGATAGGACGTTTTGTTGTTTTCTGAAGCTAAAAGATCCCGGCAAAACGTATGACTTCCGACGCAAAGAACGTTGAGCGCTAACATGATTACTTGTTGCCGTTGATGGGTATGAGGCAACGGATGGCCGCCCAAACCCTTGCCAAGGATTAAAAGGACGTGGCCCTGAGAAAGCCGCCCCTAGGCGACCGTTTCGTCCCCACTACGTCCCGACCGGACCGCTCCACCACCTCTCCGGAGGGGAAACAAAGCCGTCCTGGCCCATAGGAGAGTTGACTACGGACGCTTTAAACGCAGCGCCCTCGGTCGACCGGACGACCCTCAGGCCAGGAGGGAAGTTCCTGGCGCGCTTCCGCACGGTCTGGAGCTTCGGCTCTGGCCGGTGTGGGGGAGTGCCGGGGGGGTATTATTATGAGTGCAAACACGACGACCCACCGACACCATCTCCAAAGTAACTTTGTTTTGTTAACATACGCTATAGTTTTTGCTGGGGAATTTAAGTCGAGTCCACTGACTTGTGATTGACTCAGTTTAGATCACTCGACCACGCAGCACCCAGGTGAATGGGACTCAATAACTTTGCGTGGCAACTCATCTTAAAGAAGGAACACTCTCATATCAAACCCGGAGTCCCTTAGGGGTTATATCACAGACAGAGTGAACATTCCAAAAAACTACTTCGACGTAGAAGGCATAAAGAGCGAAAAGAAACACACACAAAACACTGCTGGTCACTTACTGGATCCTGGTATTTTCAGACGCCTTGATTAAGTGTTGCCAGGAACAAAAAGGCAAAGACAAGAGAGTGAGGCAGGCGAATTGAGCAGCCATACCTATCTTTAAACGCATTACAGCTCAAGTTAACACTACTACTTAAGTCAAAGCCTTGGTCAACTTCGCGTGCGAAGATTGAACAATTAAAATAACTTACTCTACAGTATCACTTCAGTATTACCCGCTGGTGTGGACTTCATCGTCTGTCATCAAACATTGATCAACCAGACTAATCAAGAATCACAAAAACTAAACTCCCTTCACATGGAGAACTATTTAAAGAAAGAGGCTGTTGTATAGCTTTTTAAAAAAAAAAATGGATGATACATCCACACTCTCTTCATCACAGTTACCTCAGATCAGCTCCTTATATAGGACCTATATATTAGTCCCCCTCCCCCCAGTGGTTACCAAATCTAAAATATCACTAATAAGCCATTATTGTCACTATAGGCATTCATAGATGGCTGATCTACGCTTGAGAAATACTTCAGATATCTTGGGATTTTATTATCGTAAACTTTTTCTTCTTAGTAAATTTTTTATTTATTTATCTGCTGGAAACGACTATGTGCAATGTAAATTGAAAAGTTCCATTTGTCAAGGGTATGCGAATCACTGTTGTTATGTTTGGTATGGAAAAGATGTTTAGAGTAGAGATTATGTGTGTAGTCGTGTCTATTGTGTGAGCTATTTGTGACGTATTGGGGTAGGGGGAAATGCCCTGCTAGTTTGTTACTGTTATGGTGGATTGATGACCGTTGTAGGATATTCACGGCGTAGCTTGTTCTGTGTGTTGAGGATTTCTACTGGATGTATCTTTAAGGAAGTACCTTGATTCGTTTAATGAATTGGATTGTTAGTACGGCATACATTACTCCGTCATGTTATGATGAGGTATAAAAGTACAACAAGATATTCATTGTTCTTTGTAGTGGTATCAGTTGCACTAGGCCGTGGGACGAAGTGAGAGACTATAATATCCAACAAGTAAGCATTTGACATCAAAGGTTAGAGAAACACAAGAAAGTAAGGTATGAATCTCGTCACCATTTATTTGATCAGTAAAAAATCTTATCTCATTTTATATTTCAGGCTTTGTCATATCTTTGTCGTTATAACTATTTATAATTTACAACCAAATAATCAAAAAACATATCTATTTAGATTATTTTTTATTCGTTGAGGGATGTCACTTGAGTTTGTTGACGACAACATTCCGCATAGTATGAATGTGTGGCATAAAAACAGTAAGAATGCAATGATAACTATATACTATATGTTATAGATGCGAAATAAATATACGATGAATAAAATGACCTTGAATAGGGAAACAATTGACAATGTGTGCTTCGCAAAATTATATATTGATGTTATTGCACAGAATAAATGTTTTAATTTGGCTGGCATTAGTCCATACTCAAGAAGAATTGCTCTAAAACCCTCTTTGTATTTATATGTACCAATTAAAATTTAGACAATTATTTCTAATATGTTATTAATGGACTATATTTATTTATTTAGGCATTTTTATATAGCGCTTACCTTAAAGCTCTAAGCGCTTTACAAGTATTAAAAACATGTAAACTAAGTAAAATAAAAATGAAAAACCAGAGAAACTAGGATAGTAACTACCAAACCATAGAAACAATTAAAATGGCTATAAAACGAGTACACTTTGGCACGTTTTGGCCTAAACTACAGGAAAACGAGACAGAAAATAAGGCAAGGCAAGTAGGGTGCATCACAGGTCATAGGCGGACCTAAACAGGTGGGTTTTAAGGGACTTTTTGAAAGTGGACGAGGTTTCCCAATGACTGATGTGGAAGGGGGGCTGGTTCCAGAATGTGGGCGCATGGAAGTAGAAGGAGCGTTCACCGATAGTCTTAGATTTGGTTCTTGGGGTTGAGAGGGTTCTACTGTCAATGGAAGAACGTAGTTGTCTTGTGGGGATGTAAGGAAGCAACAGTTCAGAGAGATAGACAGGAAAGTGAGGGTCAGTGAACGAGTTGAAGCATAGATTGGCAGACTTGTACTTGATGCGAGAGGATATTGG